CAATTTTTGAGCATAAAACTCTTTTTTTTTATTTCTACTAATAGATGAATCATGCATAAAACAAAAGAAAAACTAATAACATCAACTACAAAAAAGCCTCATCTCTTGCCTTAGGACACCATACAATTTACACTTAATAAATGGAAAGGCCTGCTGTACATAAATGGGTATGTTCAATTTTATAAATACAAAGGATGCCAGAGCTCACTGTTTTCCTTGGTATCTATCAACAAAGCTAACAGATCCAATTTTCCTGATAGAGGAAGAGTTCTGCTGAGTGATATAATTTCATTTCTGCTGTGAAGTTGATGTGCTTGAGATGGTATGTGGCCTGTTGCTTTTGTTGTTGTTGATGGTAATACATCTTTATTTGTCTGTAAATGACACAAAGTCATATTTCATTGCCCTACATGGAACAAATATGTTTCTGTAATATATGTTGACATGTATGTTTCTGCAATATTTGTAAACATATTGACATACAGTATATGGGACATTTATGTGTTTTATATATATGGACATTTATGTTTCTGGCATATTTTTGGACATATTTTTCTAACATTTATGGGATATTCATATTTCTGAATTACAAACTACAAAATTTCAACAAAATTGTACATTTTTAAATTTAGCTTTTTTTATGTATTTAATATTTCCCCTACAAATAATATCTGGGTGTCCTAATTTTGGACAATTATCATAAGTTATTTTGTTAGATTAGCTCCAGATTTGGCTTCAGTACTGACTGTATGAGACAGTATGGGGCATATCTGAATATATGAGACATTTATTTGTTATACACATAAGGGATGTATACCTTTCTGGAATATATGTGGAAATAGATGTTTCTGACATGTATGGGGCATACATTATGCGTTTTATACCTAAATGTGCCATATATGTTTTTGGCATACTGTACATGGGACATATACAGTTCAAGTCAGAATTATTAGCCCCCCTGTTTATTTTTTACCCAATTTCTGTTTAACAGAAAGAAGGTTTTTTTCAGCACATTTCTAATCATAATAGTTATAATAACTAATTTCTAATAACTGATTTATTTGATCTTTGCCATGATGACGATAAATAATATTTTACTTAATATTTTTCAAGACGCTTCTATACAGCTTAAAGTGACATTTAAAGGCTTAATTAGGTTAACTAGGCTGGTTAGGGTAATTAGGTAAGTTATTGTATAATGCTTTGTTTTGTAGACTATCAAAAAAAATTGCCAAAAGGGTCTAATAATTTTGTCATTAAATTGGTGATTAAAAACTTTAAAACTGCTTTAAAAAAAAAGAAGACTTTATCTAGAAGAAAAAAATATTATCAGAAATTCTTTGAAAATTTTCTTGCCCTGTTAAACATCATTTGGAAAATATTTAAAAAAGAAAAAAAAATCAAAGTGGGCTAATAATTCTGACTTCAACTGTATGTGTTATAAATCTAGGGGACATATATTTTTCTGACATAAGTGGACATACATGTTTCTAACATGTGTATGTTTTACTTATAAGGGCAGATCTTGAGCATGGTTTTATTACACAATGCTTCATTTTTCATTAACGCTG